TAGTACTTTTGAGATTGTCGTAATAATTATATTAACATTTCGCGTCACCGCAGAAATTTAACATAATTTCTATTTCGCTTGATAAGATTCAATTAGTCGCCGTAACTATTTCATTAAAGTATTTGCCACTAATTATTTGTACATACACACGTAGCTACAACATACATAGAACTGATAAGGCGGCACATAACACTTACCTAACCGTGGACACGTTATCTGAGGATATTGCCGCTGGGATAATTTAACGGTTACATGGTAATGGGCCCGATATCTCTTACAATGACAATTATTCTAGTGCTGGTTATAAATACTTGATACTATTTGAGTACCTTCTATGTTTGGAAGGTTTAAAAAAAACAAATCTCGACAGAACCGTCCTGGCGCAAAAGCAAAGTGAGCCCTCGCTTTGGAGTCTAATAGATCAGCTAAATGGAAGGCTGCTTTTAGATTTAACCTCAAATGAATGCGTAGAAGACCTATTGCGTTCTCTTGCAATATACTTGAAAGTGAGGTTTGGAATTCTGGAACGGTGTGAGTGTACCAATCGACAGTAGAGTTTAGTTTGAAGTAGTTTCAAAGGTTGATAAGTGATGATGCACCATTAAAGTGTGACAGAATTATTTAACCCGCTGGAGGACTTAAAAAATTGTTACATTATTTTTTGTGGAATTTAATTCTAGAACTTTTCTTACTCTTGTTAGTTTTCAAAAAACTTTGTCGTTTTCAACAAAAAAACGAATAACTAATAATGCGTAATGCGTAAAATCATCGAATTTTCAAAAGTTGGCTATGAATTTAAACGTCAAACTTGACGATCAGGAAAAAAGTCATTTAATTTTAGTAAATGTTTGCTGTGTGTTTTGAAAATGGCCGGGAAGTGTCCATTTAGCGAAAAAATTAACATGCTAGCAGGTTTCTGTGAAGGAAACTACAGGAGTGTTGAAGAATGTCGGAAAAGATTTCCATATCGTGTAATCCTCCGTAGAGAAACATTTTCCAATGTTGAAAGTCGGGCTCGAGAAACAGGAAACTTTTCCAGTAACACTCGAGAACGTGCTATTGCAATCAGGGCACAAGGACTTATTTTGATTACAATTGAAGATGACCCACATATCAGTACTAGAATTCCATCTCCACAAAGTGGTATATCGCAAACTTCTGTGCACCGTGCAGTGATCAGACGTAATCTACTACACCCATATCATATCCAAAAAGTGCAAGAATCGAATGATTTGGTTAAACGAATGAATTTCTCTCAATTTTACATCAGTTAAATCTAGTCCATTTTCGATGGGAGTCCAAGGTATTTCAGAAACTACTAAATATGATAAATCTGACACAACGTTCTCTAGCTCGATTTTCATGGCAAACTCGACTGTTAAATCAGAAATTTGTTATCTTCATTTGTTTCTGAGTTACAGGACGTTTCTCGTTATTGTGACATTTTTGAACATATCTGTATCTCAGCTGTTAAATAAGTTAGAGTTAAAGTGAAAACTGCTCAAGACTAACTCTTTGACGTAGAATTTAATGCCGGTATTAGATTTTTAGTAGATTTCGGAGTTATGACCCAAAGTTATATTTTTTTAAATGGAAATCGTAACTGACCATGGCCTAAAGATTTTTTTTGCTTTTTAGCAATATATCACATACTATAGTTATTTTTACAAACACAGGAGATACGGGGTGTTTTATGTATAAATTATATTGGTGTTTTTCCTTTTTAATATGGCTGGTTATGAAAATACATGTAAAACTATAATTCCTACTTTTACAAAACTCATATCTGTTGTAAAAATATGACGTTTATTTTAAATGCACAACATATACTCGTATGGTAATATAATATAATATTCACGAAATTTTAGGAGATAGGTGGATAGGAACAAACGGACCGATCAGATGGCCATCTGGGTTATGTGAAAAATAGTGCGTATTATCCTAAACTTTCTTACGAAGCTAACAAGTGTGAAAAAAAAACAGTTTTTTTTTAAACTTTATCTTTGATTCAAAGGAACCAACCAACAGTTTTTCTCAAAACTAACAATATTTTTTGTAATTCTAGTGAAAAAAATTAATCAAAAGTTTTTGTAGACTTCAATTTTTTTAATTTTTGTCATGCCTAGACGGCATTTATCCGCACCAGAAGTCGCTCAGCTTCGTAAGAAAGTTTAGGATAATACGCACTATTTTTTCGCAGATCGAGGACTACACCAATCTTGGGGGTATCAACTTTTAATCAATTTCGTTAATTCAAAATAAAGGAAATTACGGTACGGAAAGAGTACATCGCTTCAAAAATGACTCAATATTTTTATCTTGAGTTGTTAAAAAATAAAGAAGAGTAAATTTTCAAAAAATTTTCAAAAATTAAAAAAAAAGTTTTTTTTTCAAAAATTATTTTTTTTTTCAAATTCAATGAGCAAAAAATGCCCAATTGTGAAAGAATTGAAAAAAAATCAAATTTTTCATTTTTACGAACGTTACAGGGTGCTCAGAAATGTAAATTTTGCTCCTTTAAATTTTTCTGAAATTTTGATTAAGCGGTCCGGAAAAACCGTTCGATAGATCGATCTGCCCATTTACGGAGCTTTTGGGGGTACATCGAGGTGTAAAAATTCGTACAAGCATTAGACTCTCCATCGATATTAGCAAAGATGCGGTCGACTTAGCAAAACAAGTCAAAAAGTCACTTTTTTTCACTTTTTTCAAGTTAATGTCGAGGATGAAAGAAAATTTTTTTCTTCCAAGAACGCTACATAGCCTTGTAGGAAATTTATTCGAGATTTCGAAACTGCCCGTCAATTTTCTGTCTGATCATTAGTTGCTGAGATATCGATGGTTAAAGCCAAAAGGATGCTTTTGTATTCGTAGTCGAATATCTCCGGGTCAAATTAACGTAGAGAAAAATTTAAAAAAAGAAATTAAAGCTGAATGAACAGGCTATCAAGTCCATATCATGATTTTTGTGTAAAAAATTTTTCCAAGCCCGTGGACCGAGAAAAAAAACGCAAAAAATTGAAAAAAAAATTTTTTACTCTTATTTCTTAGAATTTCGCGATGACTATCGCTCCTAAAAATTTTGAACTAAGAAATCTGGAAACTAGACATTCGGCGCTTTAAAATGCTTTTTTTAAAACCTTGATACGATCATTTTTAACTGAGATACAGCATTCTGAAAAATCACTAAAAATTCGAAAAATTTTTTTGTTCCCTTAATTTTTTGCAGAAGTATATAACTGAATCATAACTCCGAAATCTTAAGATCTACTAAAAATCTAATATCGGCATTCAATTCTGCGCCAAAGAATTAGTCTTGAGCAGTTTTCACTAACTCTAACTTATTTAACAGCTGAGATACAGACATGTTCGAAAATGTGACAATAACAAGAAACGCCCTGTACTGTAACTCAGAAACAAATGAAGATAGCAAATTTCTGATTTTACAGTTGAAAATCGAGCTCGAGAACGTCGTGTCAGATTTATCATATCTTTAGTAGTTTCTGAAATGCCCTGAATTCCCATCGAAAATGGACCAGCCTGTACATAACTATCACGAGTATTCCCCATTCAGTAACTCCCCGACATTTCCAACGCGAATTTAAAATAAATGTTTGGATCGGTGTTATTGATCGGTATTTAATCGGTCCAGTTATTTTACCAAATCGACTAAAGGGCGATACTTATTTAGAATTTCTCCAAAACACTCTCCTGGATCTACTTGACGAGGTGCCACTACAACCCAGACTGGAACATTGGTTTATACATGATGGAGCACACCCTTATTTTCCGTATTTTAGTAATATTGTTAGAGACTTTTTGAAACCACCAGTATCGTATCCAAATAAATGGATTGGAAGAGGAAATAATTGCCCATAAGTTAATGCACATTCATTAGAAACAATCAGCAGTTATTGGATAGAGTAGATTTCTTTTTTTCGACGAAGAATACATATTTATGCCTGAGAGAAAACGGTGATCATTTAGAACAGTTTCTGTAACTTACCAGTGCAAATTGTATGTTATTGTTTGTTTTTCTATTAAATTATTCTTCTTCCAACTTTTTCCAAATTGTCAAGTTTGACGTTTAAATTCATAGCCAACTTTTGAATTCTCGATGATTTTAAATGTGTCGGTTCTTATGCGAAATACCCTATCTTCCAAGGACTTGGGAATCGCTTATTTTTCCTGCCAAGTGATATTCCAAGTTTTATTTTTGATTTGATTATCGCGTTTGTGAGAATTTTTTTCCGTAATAACATAAGTAAATAATGAGCAAGTGTATGCTTTTTCTTAAATAGATATTCCAAGGTGAAATGGAGATATAGACGTACAAATAATGATTAATTGTTTGTACATGCAAAATAAATTATTTTTTATACTTAACGCCATATTGTAGTAAATTCAGTAGTCGAAGGATTATATGTAAAAAAAAAGCTGTAGACTATAATTTTTTAAAGTATTTACTTGGTACCACGATAAATCCCTTGGCTTTGAGTATCTTGGAAAAGCAAAAAAAATATGGCCAGACCTCTCTTGTCCCGCACGTTGTAGAAAAAAAATCCAAGGCCTACCACATATTTTTCTCACTTTTCATGTGCAACAACACTCGCTAACAATTGTCGAATGAAATAAAACAATGTCGTGCAGTCAAAACAACGCGATTTTCCAGTACCACACTCAAAGTAGCTTTGATAAAGGAATGCTGACAGCAAAGGATCGTTTAAAACTATTATTTTTTTTATGATTGCAGTGAACGATGCTTTATAGGTTCTAACAGTTCTATCCTATGACAAAACAAAACATTAAGCCTTCCATAAACAATGGAACCATTATTTTTATGGCACGTCTTGTGTAACCTTTTATGTAAGCAGTACCGGTGCTAAGGTACCATTTTGGTACGCTCGTGGGGGTCTCGAACCCCAAAGTACGACCGTAGCATCAACGAAAAATGATCACGTATCGAATTTCTGTGGTAATTGCTTGTACTTGGGTACTACCTTGGCTGTGGACGTTCTATCTCCCTGATTTGGGGTACATGGATGCTATCCCAGGCCACTAAACCACAGAACAAAGCACTCCTGCGACCGGAAGGAACGCGTGTTGGTGATTTTTTTTCTTTCCGTCACGTCGCGATCTACTTTGCGCCTCGTACCACCGGCCTAGTTTCAACGACGGTACTGATGCGAGGTACTACCGCGAGTGAAATGCCTCGCTCGCAACCGATTTGTTTTATTGCTGCCATTGAACGTTGCCGGTGTCCCAGAGTTCGCCAGGTTAGGCCTGAATAGTACTGGCGTGGTACTTGAAAAAGTTGATTTAACGTTTTACTCCAATCGATTTAGAATTTGAACGTGAAAAAAGTATTAGTAGACATTTTATTGCATTTTATGACGGGGAAGGAAATGGAGAATGATAATATCAAAAAAGTAACTCGAAAAAAGTGACTCTAAGTTGGCAAATTTCGTATTTTTTCACTTTTTTACTGCCCATGAAAATCTAGACGACCTATCGGAAAATTAGTCCTTTTATGTTGTAGGGCAATTAAATTATCTACAATTTGTTAACTGTAAAATAAAGGTCGAGCGCTGAAAAATCAGTTTTCGAAAATTGAGCATTATTATTGCAAAAAGCGATGGATGTTGATGAAATTTATGGAAACGACGGTTAATACAAAGCCCATCATGTGTGCCAAACGCCATTTCAATTGGCCGTAGCATTTGTTTTTTTTGCAACTAATTGTTTAATTACTAACGATAATTTTAAAAATTAATCAGGCCGAGTATGTATCCCATTTCCCATTTATGCTAGAACGTTATGTTAGAAATAACATTTGTAAATAACGTGCCGTAAACGGCCGCTATTTTATGTTGTACCTGTTATTTGCGCTCTACGTTGTATTTGTTTCATGTTTCATAACCTAAAAGAAGGAACTCTTTTAGTTGTATGTGTTTTTGTCTATTGAGTCGGGTATTTATAGTCCAAGCATTCTGTCATGGATTAATGTTAAATTTGCAGAAATTATTACCTGGACAAAAAAAAATATGACCGTATAGAAAATTAAATTTTAAATTGAGTTTCTTGTTCTTTAAACTCGATCCAATATGGCGAACATGGTTAAAAAAAATCGCAAAGTTGAAAAAAACGGTTTTTCTAAAATAACTAAAAAAATATAGCACGGATTGAAAAATTTTAAATGAGAAAGTTGTAGGTTTTAAAAAGATCTATCGAC